CTGTGGCAAACCTAGCCACTTGTAATACTCTGGACTATATGCATAAAAAGGTTGTCTGTACTAATCCCTGTAACTTCATGTATAACCTAGATCAGGGGTAGGCAACCTACGGCACTAGTGCCATGCACGGCACTCGAGGTGTCTTTGTACGGCACTCAAGGCTACAAGAGCCAAACAGGTTCTGGCCTATCAGGAGTCCCAGTAAAATTTCAGATACCTGCTAATCGGAAAAGGTGGTGAAAGACAATCCTCAATTTAAGCATTGCAGCACGTAGAGGTAGTGATCTCAGATCACTTTCTCCCAGCACTTGTGAACTGTAGTAGGGCAGCTCGCAGTTGCTGTTGCAGCTCCTGTCCTTGACATGTACCTGGCCAGCCTAGTCCCCACTGGAACCCAGGGAAGCCCCCCACACTGCTAGATATACACATACCTGCAGAATAACCCTCCCCTCATACAAATAATACGGACAGCCCACACACAAACATACACACAATCCGCACAAACAAAACACCACTAACAACCCACATACATGCACACAATCCACACACACAATTCCACAAGCAGCCCCCATACACAGCCCACGTTCATTTGTATTATACACAATACCATAAACTACTCCTGAACATAAACAATATAATAGCTCATATACGCAGGGCCGTCTTTAACGCGGGGCAAACTGGGCAGCTGCACCGTGAGCCCTGCTGACTTCAACTATTTCTAACCCTCTGCACACTAAGGAGGCCCACCGGGTGGCCCATGCACAAAGGATCACCCGGTGGGCTTCTGTCAGCAGGGACCCGGTCGCACGCTGTAAGAATATTAAATAGTTAACTTGTTTATATGTATTTTATGCTTTTATAAGGTTTATAACATGATTATTGCTGACTGAAGGGATATTGAATACTTACATAAATATGCTGACTGTGACAGACTAAGGTATTTCTTCTATAGGATGTAAGACAATGCTAAATTTCAGGATGTCTTGCCCATTCCGATTTTAAGGATATTCTTTTCCAGACGTATGCAAAAGCTTATCTTTCCATTGTCAGAATAACGTAATACAAGGAAGTAATAAATCTTATAGTCTGTACTGTATTTGCATATACCATGGCTAATGTAAGCAAACTATGTATAAAAGCCAGCTCTGGAATACACTCATTTGAGAGTCTTGTAAAGCTGTTGTCCGTGTGTTATTGCTTACAAATGATTCTCCATCAACATTGATTATGGTGACCGAGGGATCGAGAACCGAGGGGATTAGAGTCCATTACAACATTAACCCTTTCAGCTTGGTGTCTAGAAGTGGGATAGAAGTTGGATCAGCAAAACCATTTGCGGTGAGTAGCCTTTTTGTGTCTTATTTGACACTGATTGTCTATGACCCCCCTTTGGTTCAGTAAGTCTGTATCCAGTAGATAGGAAAGGTGTAAGGACTCTAGTTATATTGAGACTATAAGAGGTCTCCGGTTTATTAGACATTTGGTCTAAATATATATAGGGTTTTGGTAACCCAGGTTAGTATCTAAGATAGATACAGGTTTTTGAGACCATAAGAGGTCTCCGGTTTATTAAGTCTATAGGTGTTCTGAGCAGCATGGTTTGTAGATCTTTAAGTATAACCCAAACTTCTCTTTCTCCCGGTCACCTTTGTTTGTCTTAAGTGTTTTTTGTGGGTGATTGTTTGTCTATATTGGGGACACACTTTGGTAAGTTAGTAGTGTCCCCACTCTGAGTCAGCAGTATGGGAAATGTGAGTTCATGTCCTGAGTGACCAATATATGTACATGTATATGTGTGTGTATGTATATATGTGTATATGTATGTATATATGTGTGTGTATATGTGTATATATAAGATAGCAGTACTTTTAAACAAATTGAGGTTTTAAAAATACATAGGGATTAAGGAGAGAACGCAGGTAACTTGTTTTTCTTTGGTTTTTACCATATATTGGGGTTGATGTGTACTGTAGTCCTTGCTGCTGCCCAGTAGTGATGGGAGTGAGCGCAGGACTTATCTTTCTGCAAGATAGCAGTACTGTATATTAGAAAAGAAATGACTCACAGGTTGTACCTGATAGACCTACTTAAATCTTTTTGCTTTATTCTTTCTGTCGCATAGAAGTATAAGTTTATTACTCTGTTTTATTGTAAGTTATTTCACATGGGATCTATGTGCCTGGTATGATTGCTGCTTTAAAATACTATAAGCCCACTACACTTATTATGAGAGTGGGATAGTGTAAATGTGTTGCATTGTTTGCATGATGAGCTCAGTATATTTTATAACTGAGACAAAAAGTCACTTCATTAGTATTTGAAAGTTAATTCCCCATATGGGATTAATTGTATAGAAACACCAATCAGCACATCTTCCCTGCCCTGTGTGTTTGTTGCAAAGGATCCATACTAAATATGATTTTTGTTTGAAAATAACAGAGCAACATTTACATTTTCAGCGGTCCAACACATGCTTTATTTTGCACTGTAAACTAACCTTTTATTGCAACAGGTTCCTTTTAAATGATCCAGTGTAATAACTACTGCTTGTGTCTTCTATGTCTCA